ATATATATATATATATATATATATATATATATATATATATATATATACACACACACACACACACACAGAGATGATTGAAATAATGTCCAAATGTTAGTCAGGGGTATTTTTTGAGTAGTGATGTGATTGGGTGCTTTCTTTTTTAAAAACACACACACAAAAAATCTAATTTTCTAGGTTGGTGCCATACTACTTATACTACTGAGGGAAAGACTAAATCTAGAGCTCTATATTCTCAAAGAAGTAAATCCCTACATAGTGGGTAAGACATAAAGCTTTAATAGTCTTTCAACCTCTGAGCCTTTCCTGAGCACAAGGGTCAGGTAGCCAGGAAGAGGGGGCCAGCAACCATTTTGCTGGTTAAACAAGTCTGTTGAAGATCAGGCCCTGGTGGGGGAACAACTTTGTAAATAAATCTCACCAGGGATCCAGGGAGGAAATCTATTTCAGGATTGACAATGGGACAGGAAAGGCCCTGAAGGCAGGAACAAGTAAGTAAGTACCACGTGGGAGTAAAGCAAGGTTGGCCATCTTGACTTGGTGTTACCCTAGGCTTCCTGCCAATTCAGTGACTCCAATAGAATGGACCCTCATAAAGCAGCGGGAATAAGATCAAGTGGACTGGAGTTTCGGGGGCACCATGCTGTATCTAGCCTCATATCACCCTTGAGCTGGGTCAGGGGTGACCTCAAAACACCAATGACAGGGGGGACAGGAGAGAGTGGAATGGAGACAGTGGGCTTTCTAGTACACTGGACTTCATTCTGACCTTAAAGTTTGTATAAAACTTAGAATTACCTCTCTAGTACCCAAGACTCAGTGGGTACTCACAAAATATCAGTTATATGAATAGGTAGCAACTGAGGGGTACAACACATAGACAGACATAACAGTACACACATAGAGAGATTGAGAAAATTTACATCTCTACCTTTTCATGCCATGTATCAATCTTGCTAATGTGGTGAAGTCCATGGACCCCCTTCTTAGAATATATGTAAATGCATGAAATAAAGTAAATATAAGGAGGTCAATTATTTTAAAGATAATCAAAATTTGATAATGTATGTTTATTTATTATGTTAATTACCTAGAACTGAGTCTTATTAATAAATTATTGGGGCTGGGGATGTGGCTCAAGCGGTAGCGTGCTCGCCTGGTATGCGTGCGGCCCGGGTTCGATCCTCAGCACCACATACACACAAAGATGTTGTGTCTGCCGAAAATTAAACAATAAAAATTAAAAAAAAAATAAAATAAATAAATAAATTATTACTATCATAATTTCAAATTCATGAGTATAAATGTTACTTTGAGAAATCTATAATGATTAAATGATGACATAAAACTATTTTACATTCCCAATGGTGAGAAAATCATAGGGACATTTACTTCTGGTGCATTTTTTTTGTTTTTGCCTACATTCTTAATTGGAAAATAAGATGAATTATAAGTTAGAGGTTAGTGAAAACAAAGACAGTAAAAACAAAGACAGTTTCTCAATATATATGTGGGATCAGTTCCAGGACCCACCACAGATATCAAGTTCTATGGATGCTTAAGTTCCTTACATAAAACAGCATAGTTTTGCATATAACCTATGCACATCCTCCTGTATACTTTAAATCCTCTCTAGTTTACATATAGCACCTAATACTATGTAAAAGATATGTCAATAGTTGTTATACATATATTACCTAGACAATAACAACAAGAAAAAAGTCTATACATGTTCAGTATTGACTCAATTTTTCCCAAATATTTTCAGTCCACAATTGGTTGATCTATGTATGAGAATCCACATATTTAGAGTGCCAACTGTATACATTTTTCCTCCATCCAACTTCAGAGATCCTTCTCATTATAAACTCTATCCATGATTCCCATGGAGGTTCAAGGATTTCAGGTTAAAGTTCTTCCTACACATTTATTTTAATTTACTCAAAAGATGGAACACAATGTTTAAGGAAAACTGTGGTTACAGTAGAGACGTAGAACAATTCCCTGCCCTCAAGTACTTGATGAGTAACGATAAAACTAAAAATGTACAAGGGAGGCTCTAAGAAGTGTCAAACCAGAAGAACAGAAAAAACTTTTGTGGAAATAGAATCTGAGTTCAAAGTGGTATTTGTACCAGTCTCTAAAGACAAGCTGGATTTTTTCAAAAAGGGAGACTGTAGGAGTAAAGAGTACTCAAGTATCCCAGGTAGAGAAACCAATATGTGCAATGGCCTAGATGAAAGCAGGGACACAGAGGACCTGTTTAGAACCAAGTATGTAGATTTATTCCAGGATGAAGGAGGCTTTCACAATAAAGAGTGAACAAAGAAGCTGGGGAGGCAGATGGAAGGTCTTGAAGACTTTGCTAGAAAGCTACTTTGCTAAAAAGCTGGATCTTAATCCTGTCACTATAGCCAGCTAGGCTAGAGGTTCTGAAAAAAATCTGATAAAATAAAAACTGAGATTTTTGGAAGAAAGTAGGGAGGAAACTGAGGAAAGAGGTAAAACTCCAGGAAAACTTTCCACAACCTAGGAGTTCCCTTTAGTTCAAACTATTGAAAAGAATTTTCAAGGAAGTATGGCAGCATCTCTTGCAAATCTTGTCAATTGAAGGTCATGTGAATCTGACAAAGGGTGAGGCTTACTACTAGTCCTTAGGAGGTTCTCAGATATTTGTTAAGGAAATGTTTCTTAAATAAATTCATTAGGAATAAGCATGCCAGAGAGGCCATTGTTGGCCATGCTTCCTCCCTCCTAGACAGACATCAACCTGGAACAAGGGATCTCCTAAAATCTGAAGCTGTCCATATGAAACCCAACTAAAATGAGTTTCTCCTGAATTCTGCTCAGGGTTTCTGTCACTCCTGTGGAGCTTCTCTAATGATTGAAGCCTGAGGTTTCTGATCTTCATTATGGAGACATTAAAAAAAACAACAAATACAAAGGAACTTCCATTCTTGCTACACTTAACTCAAAAGAAAATTTGAGTCATAAGGACGAGGCCATGGGTTTGTGTTCTCCTGCTTTCTCTGTGTCAGAATTGGGGTGAGAAGCCAGGCACAGTGGTACATGCCTGTAATCCCAGAAGCTCAGGAGGCTGAGGCAGGAGGATCGCAAGTTCAAACCCAGCCTCAGCAACTTAGCGAGGCCTTAAGCAAGTCAGTGAGACCCTGTCTCTAATAAAATATAAAAAAGGGCTGGGGATGTGGCTCAGTGGTTAAGTGCCCCTGGGTTCAATCCCCAGTACCCCCCCCCAAAAGAAAGGATGTGGGGTGGGAGAGAATAAGGGTAATAACATAACTGGGTCCTGAAGTTGAGGGAAGTTTAGGAGTTCTGATCTCTGGGACCCAAATGTACAAGATGAGCTGTAAGCGCAGACCCACTGCCACACAGGGCCCAATGGATACTCACATTTGTGGGTACCCACTGCCCTCCTTTTAAGTCTGGTATCTGCTCTCTCACTGAGAAGAGTGTGGTCTAGTTTGGGAGGCAAAAACCGGAAAATGAAACCTCTGAATTTGTCAGAAATTTCACAGGCAGCCCCTTGGCTTGGCAGGAGTAGAGGTGCTAACCTGGGAGGAGTAGCATTTTAATATGTAGTCCCCAGCAGAGAACTCTAATACAGTTAAA